GCAGCTTTAACAGTTATAAATAATTTTTATGTAATGTGTAAAAACCATGGAATATGTTTTGTTTCACCACACACTTTATTGACAATCTCTAAGGGGACCAAAACATAGCTCACATAATACAATAAATAATGTTTGTGCTGACACCATATGTCTCTGGAATTGCTATATAGAATCAATAGTATAAACTGGGAAGGCTTTTTGTTAACCATGTGAACGCAAAGTGGTGCTACTATACCATACCAGAGTGAAGACATTCATTCAATCAAGATATTGTGGTGATGGGAATTTATATCAATTTATCATATCTTTATTCACTTGGTAATGGAACTATGGCATTCAAAGGGTTAATTATGCAACGTTGACGGTCAAGTCTGTCGCCTGGCACAAAAAAATATCCTGAAGTCCCCTAAACAAAATGATTTTAATTATTTAAAAAATGCTTCTTTATTTCACCAACAAATCTGAGGAATGATTAAATTGAAAATAAAAATGTCAACAGGAAAATATATTTTGCATAGTTTTTTTCTGTCAAAATTTGAACTTCCTGGCTTAAACTTGCCTTTAAACAATAATGGGTAAGATTTTAATTTTTACCCCCCCCCCCCCCCCAACAAGATGTACTCTTAGCATATTGCTAAAATAGTCATGCTTACACTGGATGTTATTCACAAACAAAAATTTAATAAAAAAAATAGCGTGATACAGTGTGTATATCAAATAGAATTTTCTTTAAAACCAACATAATCTGCTTCTTCTTCTCCTCTTGGGTATTGGGCTCTTATTGAATGCACCACACACGCTGGTATGACTTTCCTAACACCTTTACCGATCCGCTTCCAGGAGTGTCCCCAAGCAATAACCTGTCTGTAAGCAGTAAAACGGTACATCCTACAAAGAGAGAAAATAAGGCGTCGTTCAAAATTTGGCATAACTGGCAACAAAATCATAATAAAACAATAAGTAAAACCTAGCCCAAAAGTGGTGAAAATAGTTATAAACATTAAATACACGGTGTACAGCAAAAAAAGAAGATATACTTGTAGACGATCGTTGACACAAATGGCGGCCATCTTTGTGGTTACCGATCGACCGTTCCACCCGGTCGATCGACATACTTACATTTCAACGAAAACTGTCATATACACGCCATTAACTTAACTGTCTGTACTAAGTTTTGTTAGAATGGGAAAATAGAATTGTACATTTAAGCGTATTTTTTACACTGCCGATGAGCGAGACATGTCGGCTGGCGGTGAAGTACCTCGGCAGCTTGAGTAGGTTTGGTCACGGTGACCTCATTTGGTCATGTCTGTCGCCCAACTTTGTGACAACGATCAACTACTACAAATATATCTAGGGTTTTGCAATTACTAATAGACGAACGAATCAGACTACCGAGACTACTGAAAGTGACAAAAACAGACACCGGCGAAATCCAGAGCTACAAAACTGCAGCTATCGGTTGCATTCAATAATTTAACGCATCTGGTATTTTTATCGATCTTCTCTAGTATGAATACTCGACATTTATACTGAAAGTAACGACATTTTTACTAAAAGTAATGTGAAATTTGACCTGTCATTAGCAACGGAAAACTAACGGAAGAACCGTGACGCAAACGTAAACATTGCCAATCAGCGATCAACAAATTCGGATCACACAGATACCACACAAAATTTCTGCTCGAGTTCGAGAGTTCTTTGACAAACAATACGTACAATCAGAGCTGTAGCAATTTTTACAATAATAATCATTGAAAAAGTTTCACCTGTTTGACATACTTGCTCCAAGATTGTAGGTCCTCTTTCTATCCAGTTGGTTTCTTGCGTACGCAGTTTCTAACACTCCACGGTGCATGCAAATGACATTGAAGTCCGGGTGTTGTGTCACGCAAGTGTTATTAATTGGGGACTTGTTCGACAAATATTCTGTTGAACAGCAACAAAGTCGCTCATTTAGCGGCAATGTAGAGTAGTCTGGACATCTTCCGCAAATACACAACTCGGGTCTACTTGTATTGACATCACAAGAAAATGAACTGCCGTCGTCGGTGGAATCGTTGTCGCTGTAATGTTCGTTGTCAGAAGTCGTATTGGAATTATCGCTAAACTCGGAATCTAGATTAGGCAAATCGGGAATTTCACTCTCAGAATACTCAGGCTCAAATGCGTACGGCACCAACCCAAGTTCTAGGTAATCCATAGAAAAAAAACGCGAGAAACGACAACGCTCTTTGAAAATATACAACGTACACTGCAGTACTCAATGAACTTAGTATGGTTAACCCGCAAATGAACCTAGCCTAAAACGTCATAGAAATGCCCGGATGGAGTATGTTAGTGTGTTAATTCGTAGCTATTGTTCGTTGTTTCTTATCTCCATAAACAGCCTCCATGAGCTAAATCGGGACATGTTTAAAAGTCACCCACAACCACAATAATAATGAGGAAAAATTAACATGGATGTAAAACTGTTGGAAATGGTTATTAAGATCTATACAGCCCACAATTTTTGCCACGTTGACCTACACTTTAAGGTATAAATGCACAATCCCTTGACCAGTTCCAATTCATTGCATTCTAAACCAGCCAGGTATACATGCACAATCCCTTGTCCAGTTCCATCTCATTGCACTCTGTACCAGCCAGGTATACATGCACATTCCCTTGTTCAGTTCCATCTCATTGCACTCTGTATAGGTACACATGCACAATCTCTAATCTAGTTTCATCTCATTGCACTCTGTGTCAGCCAGGTATACATGCACAATCCCTTGTTCAGTTCCATCTCGTTGCACTCTGTACCAGCCAGGTATACATGAACAATCCCTTGTTCGTTTCCATCTCATTGCACTCTGTACCAGCCAGGTATACATGCACAATCCCTTGTCCAGTTCCATCTCATTGCACTTTGTGCCAGCCAGGTATACATGCACAATCCCTTGTTCAGTTCCAACTCATTGCACTCAGTGCCTTAAAGGAAAGGTCAATCCTGTCAATATTGTTGGCCACATAGCAGCAGTTGTGTACACTTATTTGAATAATGAAAAAAAAAATTGAAATAAAAAAAAAATTAGTATAGTTATAATCCCATATATTATGCCATATGGTCGCCGCCATCTTGGCAATTTTCAAGCGCCCTCTATTGGGTCAGGCGAGAATGCGAGCGGAATTCGTTTATGCACTGTGACGTCAAAGGCTAGGTTAATTAGTGTCCAACTTAGGGGGTTATAATGAGAGAGAAATATAATCACTTAGAGAGTCATAATTCATTGCGCTACTTTCAAGAGTGATGGCTGTCTGCAAATACTATGGATGCTCAAATGACCGCGACCGAAATTCGGGGATGTCTTTTTTCACATTCCCTTGTCCGAAGAAAAAAAGATGTCTACACAAGGAATGGCTAGCTAATATTGGTACAGATTTTAAGCCAAAGTCATACAGCCACAATTATGTTGTGTGTGAAAATCATTTCACAGAAGATGATTACCAAGGAAATCAGACGATCCTGGCACAGCTTGGATATACACGAAAACGACTGAAACCTGATGCAGTCCCCGTTAAGTACATTCGTACTGCGAAAAATGAAAGTAAAGCAGTACTCGACAGACGCAATCGAAGAGCAAAATGTGAGGTAATATTACCAAGAAAACTTTCTAAATTTGTAGATGTTACTTTGTTCGAGTGATAGTAAACTCGACACCGCGAGTGTAAATGTTGGAAACATTTTTTTTAAAAAGAGCAATGTGCAAATCGTGGAAATGTTTGACGTATGTCAGTGTTTTTTTTTTCTTTTGCCGGGAAAACAACACTTAAACCCCAGACAACTAATTATTTGGCTGAAACTAAAGTAGTTTCCTGATAGTCTGATGAGATTTGGTGACACCGGAAGGCGACATTATGTTGTGTTTTGCTTGTTTATGTTGACGTGTACGCCGGACTGCTAACAAATGTTTGTATTGTTGCTGTTTATTAGTACCCCACTGCCCGCCCGCAATACATCCGCCGGGATTTCAAAATTACAGCCTTTATTCGTCGGTCAATTATTTATTGTTCACTATGTCAGGTATAATATTTTATCATTATTTTAGTTTGGAATGAATCACAAACGCCAAGAACGTAAAAAAAAAAACATCCCGTGATTTTGCGTTTGATTGTGCCGCGCCAAACATTTTTACGAACGAATCCCTGGGGGAAACCTCTGGCGGGTAACGCGTTTTCTGTTATCGGCAATGATTCTCCCCGAAATAAAGGATAGATCGCGAATG